AGATCTCATAAGACCTACCAATAAAAAAGTTGCTGTAGCTCACCTCTCACATAAAAATATTGATGCCTTAATTCCCACAGTGCCATGCTAGACTTTTAAATATTCCATTATTTATTTATACTGATTAGATGACAGATTTTTTTTTTAATTAAATGATCTCTTCTTACAGTTTTCATTATACCAATTTTCCTGTTGATGATGACAGTACAAATATGCATGAGAGGGGGTGGAATAATAAGCCTGCTGAAAACTGCATAACAATAAGGTCAGATTTCTCCTACATAATAATAACATCACAAAGATAAGATATTGGATGTCCTTCCTTTCTACTGCTTAAAATTAAAGTATGTATCAGCCTTGCTTCAGGGATGCGTGGTTGCTTGAAGACTCGTAAATAATTTTCAGTGATCATTTTAAAGATACTTTTCCAATAGCAACMACAAAATATAGCTAGTATCAACAGATTCCAAAAATCTAAATCATTTGAGCTCTGGTGAAACTTTCAAAGCTTTTTTTGATTGCTGAATTGTCTACTTGAGATGTGGCTACTAAATTACTTCCTATTCTCCTGACAGTGAGATGGTATAATCAGAACCTACATGACATGTTTGTCTTTCTTTAACGTTTTATCAYATTGTTCTGTTCTTTCATCCAGAAACTAGTACTTGTCCTGCTATGCAAATGTATCTATTCATTAATCTGTCAAAATGCCTATAAATATCAGATTGTTTTGAGGAGACAGTGTCTAAATTACCAGATGAAAATATTTTTCTCCTGCTTCCTAGCATATGAACTGTGATGAGTGGAATTGTGTTCTGATGTGCATTAAAACCCAGAAGTTATAGCTATTAAGCTGGTGGGTGCCTTGAGAGAGTGTCACACAGATTACCCAACTGGAAAAAATTTAAACCACAGTGAAAATCCTGTCATTATCTTCAAAAAGGTAATACAGACAGAAGGTTAAAAAAAAAAAAAAAAAAAAGGTTTTACAGGGCAGTGGAGGCCCATCTTTCTAAAGACTTCTTTCACTCACCAGTGCATATCAGCTCAGTCATATGCACACACAGACAAAGTGCCCTGAATGATATTTCTGTCCTTACATTTCATCAAAGATCTGTTTTCCTTCTGCTCCTCACTGAAACCTCTCAGACTATCTGGTTACAAAATGTCCCAAAATATCCCCTGGCAGCCAAAGGAAAGGTAGGAGGATGATTTGGTTTCTTTTGCCTTTTTTCCAAAGTGCGATTATTCTGAAATCCATAAAGCAGTATAATAGCAACAAGTTGTCCATACTCTAAAATAGAAGAGGTGTAAAATGATTCTGGCAACACAAGTAAGTACTACGAGTGCCTGTCCTTCGACAGATAGCTTTGGATGAGGAGAGAGGCACTGCAAGGAATAATATTCACACCCACAAACACATGTCCATTTGTGCTCACGCRTGCACTTTTCCAAACACTCCAGCATGCGCTGACAGCCTGCAGAGGATCAACATCAAGAATTTCCTTTCAGTCATTTCTTAGCCTCTAGCAATGGCTGGAAACGGTGTTTATGATCAAACTGAAATATAAAACTCTGGTACTATAAATAGTCACAAGTTTGTTTCACTGGAAGAAGGATCCTTTTCCAACACCATACTGAATTCTTTTTAAAGAGAGTAAAATTAGTGTATTGTATACATTTGCTTTGTTTTGTACTCTTTCTGTCTGGTATTAAAAAGCATTGACATTTGCTTATTGCAAACATTTCTGTCTCATCTAAGTACTGGTAATGYCACTGTGAGAAAGGCTTGTTTTCATATGAGCCAGTATCAGAGTAGTTTTTTTTTCCTCTTCTTTTYGATTATTTATTTATTTTTCTACTCTAGTTGGTAGCAAGTCACACACCTACATGAAGCTTTTGCTGCCTTCAGTGAAAATAGCTATCCTGGGTAACAATTATTGACATTTCATTTTCTTCCAGGTGATGTATATCTTGCTTAGGAGAAATGCCCAGCTTTGCCTTGCCTTGATCCTTCATCCTTTTCCTCACTGGTAGGTCTTGTATGATCTACCAGTCTGGGTACCATTTTTTCAGCACACTGCTGCAGCCCATTCCATCTGCACTGCTGCAATTTGAAAATAGGATCAGTGAAGCCACCAGTGATAGGAGTGTACAGTGCCTGGAGGGTTGCTTGAGGCAGTCAGACACGTCAGACCAAGGAGGGAGGACAGGGGCGCTGTCCAAGTCCCCTGGGCAGCAGCCACCACCAAGTTAACTTGTCCTCTCTTGCTGGTGAGGTGGGAGAAGGAGCATAGCAGCTTGCATTTTAATCTTCTATTCCCACAGTGGCATTTGCCTGCCTGATCACAAGTGTSTAGCATTAGACACCTTTAGGCAAGGACATGGGGTGGGAGAGGTAGCTAGAGGGCAAGGGGCATTCCTTCATGTGTCTAAGATAGCAGTAGACACCTGTGATTGCCATTAATGTCCAGAATTTTTTATTTCTTCGTTATGGTTCTTTAATCCTGGACTGCAGATTTTAAGGGCCAAAATGAGAGATATGCATATTAGTATTTTTTCAATACATAGTTAAGTTAGATTTTTCTTTCTTTTCATAGGTGAGACATGGAATTCTTGGCTTGCCTTGGCTAAGGCAAGACCTTGATATCCTAAAATATATATTATTCCATACCATATTCTTGTTTTAAGCCTTCAAAATGGGGGAATTAAGGTTTCTGCAATTCATTTTCAATTTTCCTTCAAGAAAATACTGTGCATTGTAGTGATTTTGTTGTGACAAAATTAGGCTTTGTAAGGTTACTTTGGAGTAGGGAATTCACCATCATTTGCGAGATTACTAAATATCTACATACTTCTTTTGTGAAGACCGGACTTGGAAGATGGAGATGTCTGCCTTCCTCCCTGCAGCAGTGATTCTAGGCAACTTGGTGTTGCACCTCTGGAGGAAACCATTTCAATTGCTAGTGATCATTTTCCAGAGCAACTTCTCAGTCTGCATTATCAAAATTCCTCTTGGTCCTATTTGCAAGTGCAAGGCCAGATGTGCATAGGGAAAACGAGCCCATTCCATAGATGACCACCAGATAAATTAACATTTGCAAGTGCAAGTGTTATGTGAACAAACAGAGCAGAGAGCTGGAGACCTGTGTGGTATTCGGTCTGGAACAGGCAGCTGGTGACAAGCTTTCAGCAAAGGAGAGGCACAAGTTGGTTATTGTTTGGACAACAGGTTAATTTTCCCTCAGAAGGGAAGTGATTGCTATCAGATGCCAGAAATGTTTTATTTAGTGAGTTCTATTCACATCCATATTTTCCTTGAAAGGAAGGGCAACAAACTGTGACTGTACTAACAATCAGAAACCTGAAAGTATTGGGAGTTTGTCTGGGGGATTTGGGGAACAAGAGAGGGAACTGGTACCTCCTACCATTGTTTTTGTTGCAGTTCTTTCTAAAAGTGTTATTTCAATCCTTTTTTTTTTTTTTTTCGAGATGATAGGGAGCCAAACCACTAATTCATCCAGCCCAGAAGGAGCTGCACATTTTATTTTACATTATCAGAAAGAGAACGGTTAAATCGATGAGTGAGTGTTCAGTTGTCAAGTAGATTAAAGAATGGTGACATGATGAACCTTTTTTGAATTTTACAGAAGAAAATCAAGGATTCAAAAAGAGATAAAGAAGACCTAAATAAATAAAACTGACAGAAGTCCAAATCTAACAAAAATGGCAATGTGACAGAGTCGGAATTGGATGTCCGTTGATGAMCTCAAAAAATAAAAATTAATTGAATAATACTGCAGGAAATAAAGTTTAAGAATCAGGAAYAGGATCTGCCAAGTGTTCAGTTTGACTCAGCAAACAGCAGCTCCAGCCTGCTCTGCTAGCAGGCTTTAGCCCTAAGTTCGGCTTCTTTGTAGCCAAAGGGGTGCCCGTTCAGTGTTGAATCCAACACCCTGATCTTGAAGGAMTGTGGGGAGCTGATGGGTGTGCAGGAGAGAGGGCAAGGGAATGGGGCAGCAGGAAAAGAGAAAAAGGATTTTTGGAGTGTCACTGGAAAGGAGAAGCTTTGCCCTGGACAGCACACCAGCTTGGAGTTGTATGTTATGTGAACAGATATCAGCGTCTTCCCAACTCACTTGGTCTTTATGGAAGACCTGTATGAACAGTGGAAAGTTGTATAAAATAATGTCTCTCCAATTTGTCTCTTTCCAGTATTATGTTCTCCTGCCTTCTTTCCAGTATGATGTTCTCCTGCCTTCTTTCTGTGGTAATGACAAGTGTTCAGAAACTATAGATGTATCAGATGTTAATGGAGTGCAAGTATGGAGAAATCCTCCAACCACTATAAACCAAAGCTCTTTGTGAGGTAACTGAAATGGAAATTTACAGGTATTTGTGATGTGATYTCTGTATAACACGACTGTGAGCTAGCATGAGGTAGAGCATGCAAACTCCCTGGATTAAAGCTGAAGGTACTAAAGGCAATCTGGCAAAGAACTGCAAGTCACAGCAGCTTTCCGAGTTGTGCAGTCACAACAGAATATTGCACTTTCAGGATGTTCTAAGACAATTAGATACAAGCCTTTTCTTCAGATCTGAACAACTCCTTCAGGAGAAACAAAAACATTATTTTGTTCCTGAAGATTTCCAGATATGCTCTCATTCCCTTTTCATTGTGTAAAGCTTTTGCTTAAAGATTATTCAAACACTAATTATAAAATGTATTTCTATCATAAATTCTCTCCTAGAGAATCAGAGCTGCTGCTATTTTAGCTGACATCACCTCTTTTCACATACACTTAGAAAGAATGATACAACAGGCTTACTTAGGATTTGAAATGCTGCAATACCTTTGAAGACTGGCTCGTTAGTGATGTCAGTGGAATGGGTGGGTTCACTTTGATGCCCTTTTCTACAGCTGATAGTGATTAAGAAAAAAATACAGAAAGTGGTTTCCTGAGGCAGAGTTTCATCCTCAGAGCATGCTTAGGCTAGGCTGCTCCTTGTTCTTTAGTTAGATCTCAGGGTCTGTTTTGACTGGTTATGTTTCAAATAATCTTCAGCTTGGGAGACTCACTCTCTCTTGCACATCTGAGATATTTTCTTCTGGATACACCTGCATCAGATGAGATGTAGAGTATGGTAAGGTTTATCCTACAAGTGTTTTTGGGGCTGGATATTTGATATTTCAAATTTGGATTTGAAAATTTGATATTTGGATTTCTGGGCTGGGAGTTCTATATGGTGTGCATGTTCATTTTTCTCAATGATAAATGCATTTAAATAAAATAGGTAGGCTTTTGTTATTGTGTTGTTCCTGTTCTAATACTGCAGATTGCTAATAATAAGTGAGTGCCTATAGCTGCTTGAAAGGGTGGCTTTTAATATGTTAGCTATAAATCTAAATTAATGGAGAAGATGATTTATGCACATATGATGTTTTAGTAAGCACTTAAAAGGCAAGCTGTTTATCAGAGAGGCATAATTCTTCCATTAACTTTCATAAACAGCTTGCTTACTCCTTTGGGAATTTATACAGATCATTTGTATGTAACAGCATAGCAGCAATGTACATAGTGGTATGACTATAGGAGATACACAGTAAATAGAATTGTATAACTTTTTGACTATTGACTTTCCTTGTCCCTATGTTGTAAGGGGTCAGAAAACTGCCTGGAGTCAGTTCAAGTTGGAAGGTCTTATTGAGCTAGACTGTAATCACTCGATAGTGAAGAATATTCTTTCTTTCCTTGTAGTTTTCCTTGTTGTCTACAATACTGAAAATAGACACGAATTTATCCTGTATGGAGGCTATCCAGTAGCAACAGAGTCCTTAAAAAGACAAAGAGCTTGTGTTTATAGCCCTGAATCCAATATATGTGGGCTCAATTCCAGCTCCCATCATAGATTTCCCATTTGAACTTGTCCATTCCCTTAATTTCCTTGCTGAAATTCCTCATCTGTGAAATAGATTAATGACCATAATGTCTCTAGCTAATCTATTTAGACAATAAACTCTTCAGGATGTGGGCTAGGTTTCTAAGTGGATATGCAGAGCCTAGAACAGTGGGGATTGGACCTCAGTGTAGAGGAGCCACTTTCACATGTATGCAATAAGGCAGACCCTATCCAAAATCCTGCTGTGGCTTAGACTGCTGTCAGTAAACAAGGGCAATGAGGTCTCCTGATCTTGAACGCATGCTAGAAAGCCTGCTGAGCTGGTTAACAGTCCCCCATTATCTGAAGTGTTTATTGGATTCGTTAAGCACCAAAAGCTGTGGACGAAAACCAGGAGTATGTTTTCATCTCCTTGTTCTTACCATCACTTTTCTCTGTTTCTTCACATTGGCATTTCTGCTTTAATTAAATGTTCGTTTCTTCCTTGTGATTCTGCATACACAGTTTCACAGCAMGAAGCAATGTTTCTTTGAGGTAAAAGATATGCCTACACTGCTAGTATATCCTCTGCTGTCTGGGGGATTGCTTCCTTGAAATGTCTTTCTAAATATTCTGATTTAAATGTAATTGTCTGACTTTTTCTTCTGAGTAAGTATATGCTGACGGGGRCTGGCTAGACAAGCCCACTGTGCAGAATTGATTTTCATGTTTCCTAGGGTCCTGATGACTCCCATGCTTCTACTGTGAAATTTTTGTCTTTCAGTAGGATTTCAGACCAAAAGCCCAAGCATAGTAAAAAAATGAGATTCTTGAAGCAAGTGCAAAAACCAAGGCACAGAAAATGAAGGCAAACTAAGTGATTAACAATATTATTTGTAGACAATCTGAATTTTGTGCATCTGTGGGCTGATGGTGAGACCTGTGTTTTATGCAGCAAGCCTAATTAGTTGAACAAAAAAATAAAATGGAGTGGGATTGATAAACAGCAAGAGAGTGTTATGTGAATTGAATGCTACTGAAGAGAGATGGTCCAAACTATTTGTTGAAGTAATACCACTAAATTCAGCAGAGCTGAAATTGTCCATTTGTTCCTACAGAGTATTTTGAAGAGGGTTGCACATGGTAGTGAGAGTAAATGAGGAAGATGGAGCAGGATATTCTGGAAGCTGGTAGGAGATTTCAGCTTGGCAGTCCCTTCTCTCTTCTATTGGCCCCTGTTTACYGTCAATTTCCTATTCTTTGCTATTTTTTATCATTCTTCTATTCTACTGTATGTATGACTGAGGCTGAAAAAGATGTGTTTTCCTGAGCAGTGCAACTCACCTGTTTTGGAATGGAAAAACACTTGCCGCATAAAGTGCACATAGATCGCCAGACTTAGGATTTCATAGAAATTACCTGTTCAGGTTTCCCATCATCTATTATTAAAGTGAAGTTGCTGAGAGTAAGTGTTCTTATGGAAATAGAAAACAAAACCATCTAGAGCTATTTTCTTTTCTGGAATTGAGGGAAGGGTGGAAGAACTCGCAGAGCTCTGTGATGTCACCAATATCTTCCTCAAAGTGCGGTGAAATTAATGTTTTCATTCTCTTTCATATATCATACTCTACTTTTTATAACTTCATACTTGTCAGGGCTCAGTGAGTAGGAGTCTGAGGCAATATAGTGTTATAACTATCTCAGTGCATATTCTTTCATCCATCCATCTTTAAGATCTACAATCATTCCTTCTAGTTTCTTTTCTCTCATTTCATCTTTTTTCTATGCTTGGTGTTATCTCTGTATTCTTTCTTGTGTTAGTTGCTTATAAAAATCAAATTTTAAGATGCTTTGATACAAATCTCATCCCTACCAAAATATTAAAAAAATATATTTTATTAAGCTCAAAGTAATATTGTTTTTAACTCTACATTTCTCATGGTGGAAAATTATGGACTATCTTGTGGATAAAGACCGTGTTAAGTTGTCCTAATATCTAGAAGATCTGAGTCCTGTTCCCAGAATAACAGAAGAGCTGGGGTTGAAGGAGACTCCACATATCATGAGGTCCAACCTCCCTTCTTAAGGAGAGTCACATACAACCTGTGGCCATGGACCATATCACATTGTATTTTGAATATCTCCAACCTGTCTAGGCAACCTGTTCTGGCACTCAGTCACCTTCCCAGTAAAGAAGTATTTTCTTGTGTCTAAGTGGAGTTTTCTATATTTAAGTTTGTGCCCGTTGACTCCTGTCACAGGGCATCACTGAGAAGGGTTTGGCCTGTCCTCTTGACACCTCTTGACTTGTGTATGTTTAATTYATTTATGTGTGCTTTAGCCTAACTCTCTTCTACCAAGGACAAGTCTTACTTGCTCCAGACTTYCCCTCTCTGGTTTTAGGGTCTTGGGATTGCTGAAGGCKGGTCTTACTAGCGTGAGGTGAGGGAGGCATTCAGTACCTCTGCCTTTCCTGTGTCCTTGCCAGGAGACTTCCTACCCATTTGGCAGCAGACCCATATCTTTCCTAGCATTCCATTTGCTGCCTATGCACTTAGAGAAGCCCTTCTTGTTGCCTTTCACTTATCTTAGCTAGTCCACTWAGCTAGTGGACTTTAGCTCTCCTAACTGCATCCCTGCGTGCCCCAAAACTGTCTCTATATTCCTTTTAGATTGCCTGTCCCTGCTTCTGTCTCTTGTGTTTGCRTTTTGTCAGAAGCTTGTGTTCCTGTTACCTTTGCTTGATTTCCCTCTTGATCGCAGGGTCCATACTTGAGCTTGGAGGATGATCTTAGAATATAAATCATTTCTCTTGGATCTCTCTTCCTTTCAAGACCATGTTTGTAAGATTCTTCCAAGTAGGTCCTGAAACAGGCTCAACCTGCTTTCCTGAAGCTGAAGGCTGTGACTCTTTATTTTGCCTTTCTTCTTCCTTGCAGGATCCTGAACTCCACTGCAGCCTAAGCTGCCTCCAGTCTTCATATCTTGACCAGCAATTAAGTTTGAGGTCCAAAGGGGTGTCTCTCCTCAATGGCTCCTCCATCACCTGTGTTATGAAATTATCTGGAGTTGCTCTCTAGCATGAGGACAAATTCTTTAATATGAGGTGTTAAGAAGTGAAGTATTTACTTGGGTAACTTAAACTGACAACAGATGATGTGTATTGGATACCAGGAATAATCAATTTTTTAAAAAGTCTCTTTTCTGTATGTTTGCACATGTTTGTTTTCAAATATTGAAACCCTTGCCAGGAGACACTACAACTGCATGCTTACTTTGAGTCATGACTTCCCTTCTGAAAACTTTTTAAGAGCTTGAATGTCAGAAGTTTGTCAGGCCTGCTGGAAGCAAATTAATGTTCAATAAGTGAGGAATGCTTTTGGAAATACCATTGTAAATTTTCTAAGAAAAATCTCTACTCCTGAACRTTGCAGTGAGCATGAGAAATCCTGAGGCTATATCTCATTCTTGCAACTTGTTTTTTTGCTGATTGCTTTGTTTGTTTTATGGGTTAGAATTAATTAATTCGACCTTCTTGAGCACTTTCTTTCTTTCTTTCCACACCATATCAGATTTTATTTATTTATTTTTTTTTATCTCCAGAGAAAGTACCTAGGGGTGATTTTTTGCTTCCTGTTCATGGCAGAAATAGAGAGGGCTATGCCCAGAGAATCCACTATGAAGGCAAGGTGGACTTGTGCTCCCAACTCTCCCTAGCTCTCTTTCCCCATATAAGATAATGATAGAGATACTTAACTCTTTATAGTGTCAATATCTTGCACTTCTGATCTGCAACCAAAGGATTTAGCTCCACTAACTGAATTGCATGCTGCCCCACAAACGATGTTCCCAGGCTCCAGCTGGAAAGCTGGGTTAGTATGGAGTCAATATTTGTTGTCACTTCCCTTCAGTTGTTTGCACTGCTGGTATGTGGATATACTGATGCAGGAGAAGTTATCAAGATAGATGACTCTGAGGGTCTGGAAAGGGAATATGTCCCTTTCCTTTCTCCCATCCATCCCCAGACTCTTAAGTCAGCCCTGGAAACCTGCTCGGGTTGGCAGCAGTTTGGGCCCCTTGTCTCTTGGCAGCTCCTTCAAAGCCTCTCACGTTCCCACAAGGACAGAAATCCCTCGACATTAATCACGTGTGGTGAGAGGATGGCTTTGAGGAAAGGAGGACTAAACAAGAGGCTGGATCACAACCAACCATCCCTAATTTATGGATGATCTGTCTGTAATTCACACCTGCAGAGCAGCTGCAGTGAGAGGAAGGAGCTTGGGGAAGAGGGTGCAGAAACAGAACAGAATGTGGGGTCAGGAGTTTTTTGTAAGAGGAACAATTATAGTGTAAGAAGAAAAAAAAATCTGTATGATTTAAAATGCCAGGTTCTTTCTGACCTTTTAAGTCAATATATATCAATTACTGATGCATAAAATTAACATAACACCTGGGGATATCTCTTCTGCATACTCAGTTACTCTTCATGTTGTGCTGCAGGAAGCAAGTGGTATGGGTTTACTTGTTTAAATGTTTAGAAGTATTAAGAAATGTTTTACTAACAGTGAATATGAATATGCAAGTCTGTTTCTAAAGGTAAGTATRTTAGGGCAAAAGAATGCTTTTTTTTCAAACTGGATAATCAACATCTGTACCAATAAATGAGTTTTTGTGACTCTCACCCACTTCCTTCTGCTCCAAAATGCAAGCAGAAGCTCGTTTGTAGCTTCAGAACACTGTTAGCTGTGGCTACAAAATGTTTGCCCTTCTCTTGCAAGAGAAAAGGCCAAATCCTGCTTCCTTGGAATAGATACACATTTCCTAGTGGAGTGGTAGGAGAGGTGCATGTATCCTCTGCCTGATTTTTCAGACCAAATAACCACTTCTTTCTCTGTGTGTTGTCAGCCCAACCAAACCCATGCCCTCAGATCGTTCCTCACACTTAATTAGAGGTTTGCTTGCTCTCTGTATGAGCCATAMTAAAACTTTTGGCACTTTTCCATGYGAATGTGTGAATTCTCAGAGTGACTTTGAAAGGGCTGTTTCAATAGATACCGAGAGCTTCAGAGAAACCTGGATGGCCAAAGGAAAGAAAGATCAGAATATAGGAACAACAAAGTAAAATATTAGATCTTAAGGGAAACTCGAGAGTAGTGTTGAAGAAGGATTCAAAAAAGAARCTGTCATCTGTAGGTGGGAGGTTCAATCAGATTTTTCACCATACGTCCAGATAGCCTAGAAGCAGTACATGGTAAATCTTGAGTCAGATTCTGTCAAACTAATACATTTGAGAATCACCAGTTGTGAAGTGCCATCTTGCAGCTACACTGCAAGACCAAAAAAAAAATTTTTTTTCCTTTCATTTTAATTTTTTTCATTCTCTTCTCTCCTCAGCTAATATCTTTTGATAGGCAGTGACACATGTTGGTTCTTTGTACATTTACCATTATCTTCCTTATAGAGAGAATCTGTCTCATGCTACTTTTCTGCCACTGGGGTAGCCTTAAGACCACTCTTTAATATCAAATCTTGCCAAAAGAAGTGAGTCTCTAAGTGGATAAGAAAGGTGAATCAGTTTGTGTGTTAGTCACAGAGGACTTTTTCAGTGCTGGAAGCCCTTCAACTGTAGGTAGAAAGGAAGTGTAGGAAGATTTGAACTTTAAGACAAACTGTTCCAGGAACCACATTGCTATCAGCAGAGACACAGGAAGGTGGCAACATCAAGATATTCAGTGAGTCGCTGAAAATTAAGGAGGGCATCACCAGGAAAAGAAAGAAAAAAAAAAAAAAAAAAAAAAATTCCGGCCTTTTTAATGCCAAGCAGATACTCTTAGGGAAGTTTTAATTTTCTACACTGAAACACTGAAGGCTTCATCAGCCAGGCAAATAACTCTGTCAGAGACAGAAAGGGCAGCAGTCATTTGTATCCCGTTTCTAAACTGATAACTTCACTGGCCACCTGGGCAACAACTAGAGGGAGAGATGCTTAAGCATTTTGTTTTGTTCAGTATCAGTCTCTCGTGAGAAAGAAGGAAGATTGGTGCTTGCCTGTGAAATGTTTGCCTTTGACTTGAAGGACAAAATGGCACTTTCTGACCCAGAGCACTCTGCCCATTCAGAAGCCTTTCTTCCCAGAAAACAAGAGCCTCTGTTGGGTTCATCATTCATGTGTARAGATGCCATGCTGTCCTTCTGAAGGTACTTTATCTTCAGGTACTCCTGACATCATGCACATGTTAAGCTAGCATTTTTACTATTTTTGAGAGGGAATAAATTATGAAATTGTGAGAGCTCTAACTATTTGTGAATAGTTAACTAGAATGTTCACATTTATTGAAGTTCTTAACCTCTGAAAGTGATAAAATTACAGAATGTCATCTCATTCTCATAGATAAGCTGGTCAGTGAAGATTTCTGCAGTTTCCAGAAAATAAATTGGCTTATAGGCAATAGTATGGACAAAACAGGGAATAATAATCTGTTGAATATTAAACTCATCCATAGTAATAAGCAAGCACTTTTACACCTTCCACAGTATAATTCTGACAATARCTTTGACTGCACATGCCATCAATTCTTCAAATACGCAATGAAAGCAGTTTAAGGGGCAATATATCACCTTGAATATCTCACARAATTCTGCAGGTTTTAACATGGCTTCAAATATACTTTCCTGGCTTTCATCTTTGCCAGAAATACTCTAACTCAGCTGCAGAGCTGCTAACTTACTCCGTACTGCGGGTTAGTTTCTCTCAATTGGCATATAAGTGACTTCTGAAATAGAGAAACACTTGGGGTTTTTTTTTGTTTTTTTTTTTCCTCCCCTCTAGAGACCCTTCTTTTGAGGGATCAATTTATCTTTCTGTGTTCAAAACACTTCTGAAGAATTTTGGCCCAGAAGGGCCTTTGGAACACTTCCTATTGAAGTCACGTTCAATGTTCAGGATGATTTTTCTATCCTTCTTTGTGTATTTTCTTAATTCATTACCTTCAAACCAATTAAGAATTTTTCACATGTGTAGATTACAACCAAGCATGCTCAAAGAGATGACATTGCTACTCTCAGGCAGGTATATGCTTTTTGGGAGTGTGTATATATGTGTGTATATATATATGTGTGTGTGTGTGATATCTCAGGTGGCCTCTTTTAGTGTCATATTCTGTCAGTGATTTAAAATGTAAAATATTTTTAAAGAACAAAGAAAGTTGTTCTCTCTCTTTCTGAATCTTGATAACTTCAGAACTGAGGGCTTTACCTTAATCACTTTCCGCTATATTATGCTCTTTGCATCTGCTTCAGTGTTACAAGTTATGCCTTAAAAATATTAGAGCTTACTCTATGATGGGTAGAAGTATTTTAGAAGAATGGGAGCAGATGAGTGAGGGAAGCACTCTATTCTGAGAGGAGATAAGAAAGTGGCTCTAAAGAGAGTCAAGAAGATTGAGAGATGGGTTCAGAAACTACATTCTAATGACAAATCAGTTGAATTAGCTGTTTATTATTGGGAGGGGTCTGATTTTATTATTGTGGCTAATGAAAACCTTCTATCCAATAAAAGTTTGGGAGCAATTTAACTGTTACAGGGATAACAACTTTTATTCTTCTAACTACTACTATAGAMATAGAATATAGGCAATATAGAGGCTATTATTGATATCAGGTTATGCTAATCCAYATAACATAATAAATATAACTGCTAGGAGCTTCCAGTCAGCCTTACAGCCCAATTTATGGTCTTTTTTTGCAGGAATTCCAATTCAATTTTTGCTCCTAATTTTTCTTCACCAAAACTTTCCAAACATATTATTTCCTGTCACAAGTCTGAGGCTGTGCTGGACTATAAGTTTTACTTTAAACCAATATAAGCAGATGTTTAACAATTTCTAATGTTAYTTTGTACTATATATGGTTATGATTCTATGTTGTTCAAATTTCTAAGGCCTGCTGAATGAATTGTGGTCAAGCCCAGAGCCTGGCTTAGATTAGCTTCCTGACTCCTATTTAACTAAAGATAGACAGGGGCAGTTTTGTCCTGTAAAAACAGTTTTTTGACTGTAAAATGTTTTCTGCCTTCGTGTCTTTCCATGCGCAAGGCAGCAGCAGGCCAGGGAAGAGGCTGTGGTGGCAATAAGATCCACGTGACAGTACGAGGCCTTCCCTCTCCTAAAGCCTGGGGTTAAACGTGTTGATTGGTGCTGGTCAYGCCTGGCACTGCAGGTGGAGGATGCAGAAGGCAGCAAAGGAACCACAGAGCCCATCGGGCACTTGATCCTGGCAGGGCGCAGGGACAGCTACAGCTGATTGTTTTTGCTTACAAGCCACTGGCTTACATCTTTCTGAACTGGGTGTTATTACAGRCTCGATAAAATTTCCCTTATCTGGTTTCCTATTAGGCTGCTGGGTCGCAGTTGGTCTGTTATAAATTTGTATGCCTAGAAGCTTTCCGCAGTGTGACTAGTCAATAAGACTGTRTTTTTATATAGCATTTTCTTTGTATTTGAGAGCGAAATAGCAGTGATCCTTTTCTTTCATTATTACCAATTCACTTACACTCCTGAGTCCTGCTTGGAACAGGGTCAGGATCCTGGCCCTGGATTCCAGCCCAAGTTGCTTCCTGCACATAACTGCTTCCCAAAATCAAGAGTTTTCTTCCTGTCTCTTTAGAAATTCTTCTTTCCTTGCCTGCCTCGTGCTTATAGGGAATAATAGCTTTAAAACTCTGCATTCCCTTAATATCTTTTCAGGTGTCTCTTCCTTATTAAATGCTCATCTAGCTGGTATCATGAGATGATGAGCACCTACCTCGACATAGTCCACTGCTCAGTTCCTGCTGCCTTTGAAGTTCCTACTCAAAACCTGGCTTTCTTTGAGGTCACTATTCTGTTCAGTTGAGTGATGGTGTCTAAAGTTGGATATTTTGGAGATTGTTGGAGATCTAAGCAAAAATACTATTTGTGTCGTCTTTTGTGGTGCTCAATTTCTATAGAAGACAAAACACA